CAATGCAAGTCCAAATGATCATAGTTCACTCCACGTCCAATCTCAAGAGCAAGACCAAGCCCAGTCCAAGATCATTCCTCGGCGGAATGGGAACACGAGGGAGAGAGTATAAGGATAAAGATTGAGTTCTACTAAAATAGAACTTACCAAAGTGATAGAGACCTCCATTATCACGTCACCGCCTTACCCTAACTATAAAATGTAAACCCTCTCCACATAGAGGGGACGACCTTTTTTAAGACTCTCATATCCCTACACACACTGCTCTCTCTCTCTCTTCAAAGCATTGTAATACACCGGAGTGACTCTCTCGATGACACTGTTCATTAATAAAACGCCCCACGCTGCCGTCGCCGTTCTCGAGAGTGANTTCAGTTCAAGGAGTCGTTGAGATTGCCAAATAGCAGACAATGGATTGTGATGAGCCTGAATTTGACTGATCCAAGTCTAATTTAAATAAACTGAGGAAGGCCAAAGAAGAGCCCATCAGAGTTGGATCGACCCATGAGAAAAAGTCCAGAGTATCAGTAGAAGACTAATACCCGAAGGAGNTTCAGTTCAAGGAGTCGTTGAGATTGCCAAATAGCAGACAATGGATTGTGATGAGCCCGAATTTGACTGATCGAAGTCTAATTTAAATAAACTGAGGAAGCCCAAAGAAGAGCCCATCAGAGTTGGATCGACCCATGAGAAAAAGTCCAGAGTATCAGTAGAAGACTAATACCCGAAGGACNATATAAGAAAATAAATGAAGATTCTGAAATTGGGATCCAAAAAGTGACGAAGAGATTAGTGAAAAAATGGCGAATAGATGACCACACCCCTCTCTCTCTCTCTGTCTGATGCACAGAAGGAATGGGACGGGACGAAGAGGCCGNCATGAGCAAGCCCCTTGGGCTCTCCTTCGTCCTCTTATGTTGTCTTCTCCTCAGTCCACCTTAGTGCCATGGGATGACTCCAATGCAAGTCCAAATGATCATAGTTCACTCCAGGTCCAATCTCAAGATCAAGACCAAGCCCAGTCCAAGATCATTCCTCGGCGGAATGGGAACACGAGGGAGAGAGTATCGGGATAAAGATTGAGTTCTACTAAAATAGAACTTACCAAAGTGATAGAGACCTCCATTATCACGTCACCGCCTTACCCTAACTATATAATGTAAGTCCTCTCCACATAGAGGGGACGACCTTTTTTAAGACTCTCATATCCCTACACACACTGTTCTCTCTCTCTCTTCAAAGCACTGTAATACACCAGAGTGACTCTCTCGATGACACTGTTCATTAATAAAACGCTCCACGCTGCCGTCGCCGTTCTCGAGAGTGAACGTAGGTCACCCTAACTGAACCACTATAAATCTCTGTGTTGATTGCTTATTTACTGTTTTTATCCATTGATTGCCGTTGATTGATTGCCGTTGATTGCTCATTAATTGCTCATTGATCACACCCGTTAATATCCTTGACTGTTGATCTTGCACAAGACAATTTTGGGCATCATCAGATTGTACCAATTATCATTGGCAAAATGTGTTAGCAACCTCTCCTCGATATCTTTATGGGGTATTACAGGCATCACAGACAAAGGTGTTGTTCAACTGGTATGCAATCATTATCAGCCCCCAATACAACTCCCTTGTTCTTCAATAGATACAGTCTATAGGTCTGATTGTGAGTAATCTGTTTAAACAGAAGTCTTCAACTAATGAGTAAGCATATTTTCCTTTTACAATCATTCTCACCAATATCAAAGCAGCATGAAAAAAAAAAAAGCCAATTGCTCAACTGATATGTTGTCATTGTGAATAGATAAACAAGAAGGATCTGTTCTATTATTGATTACTTGAAGGTTTATTATTTTTTGTTAAAGCTACTTCAGATCCAGTTGTCAGTTATGTTCTACTCAATGGAGTTTTTTTTTCCCCCTTTTGAGCTGGAACTTGGAACATATTTTATGTTATGTTATTTCAGTGATTGCTCGAATGTGGAGTTCATGAAATTTTCTCTAATGTCTGACCAACTGCCTTGGATAAAGGAACGTCCTTACAGCAATGGGAAAACATAATTTTTTGAGTTTTTCATCCAAAGCAATTGCATATTCCTTGCTTGCATAGAGGGGCAAGAGTTTCTTATGTTTAGTTTTGACATTATCCTCCCTTTGCCGTTCAAAAGGCAGTAATCGCATAATCATTAGGATCCGATGCCTTCCTTTGGTTCTTGGTTCAGATAATATCTATTTGGTTGCAGTAGAGCAGGTTATTGTTGAACATTGTGTGTCAATTAAAAATTCTACAGCTTGTTACGGCCTACAAGGATTCTGTAGTTTTATTTTTCTATTCCTCTGTTTTTCTTTTTGGTGTTATTATTGTTTCTGAATGGTGAACTGGTTCAGATTATAAAGCGAATTTCTTTTTAACAATCTGTTTTTCATACCCTGCAACGACGATGAATTCTGGAAGTCTTTAACTTGGACGTTGTTTATTTGTTAAGCAATGCCACTTTGCTTCTCTAGTAACTTTACTTTCTTCCAACAGATTTCAAGAGCTACCTCCTTGCAACACCTGAACATTGGTGGTACATTTATAACAGACGAGTCTTTGTTTATAATTGCTAACAGCTGCCCACATTTGAAGGTAAGTGGTGTGTGGATGATTTCCAATCTAGATTTTATTTTGGCTAGTAATTTCAGCATCCGATCTTTTCTCTTTTCCCATCCACTGCTCACTTACCCACTTCCTCGAGTTTTTTCCCCAGTGATTTTCAAACACTATTGTCTCTTTATCATGGTTTTCAACTTAAATACGTTTTAAATTGGTGAATAAGTTAGAAAGTATGGCATCGAAGGAGTTGGGTCAAAAAATAAGGATAAAAATTGAGTGCTACTTCTTTCCTCCCCTGCCCACCCCCTCCCCCACCCCACATAGGAGGAACAGAGCCAGGATTTTATCCTAAGGGGACCAAATAGTGGTATAGTCAGAAATTTTTATTCAATGGAATCATTCAATGAACAATTGTTATTATCAAACATTTTATTGTATATAAAAATAACTTTCATGAATTATATTATTAGTTAATTTTCATAAAATTGGAAAAATTAATTTGTTATATCAATTACATGCAAGATAATTATAGATACATTTATAAAAATAAAACAGGTTTGGAGATATTATACTTCGTCTTCTTAAATTATTACCCTGATTTTGATTATTAAATTGAAGTCATTGCACCATCAACTATTCAAATTGCTAACTTTTTGCAACAGTTGTTAAATTTTAATTTTGCTCAAATTCTATAGTTCACGAGACTATTTAGAATACTTAATGGGGCAACAATATGTTTAAATGAATAGTTGAGGGGTAAAGAAAAATAAGATCACCAACTTAAGGGGCCATGTAAAGTGAAAAAGAATATAATTTTTGGGTTAGAGTATAATTTTCAAATTGGGAGGTTAATTTTAGAAGTATAAAGTGATTCTAAAAAGTTTTTTTTTTTTTTTGGGAGGGGGTTGGGGAATGGGCCAAAGCTTGGCTCCCTCACTGCACACACACTCCAACCTTGCAAACCTCTTTTACCTGGGAAAGTGTCCATGACGGGAATGTTGAGTATGAAGTGCTTGTCAAGTTGATCACACTGTTTTTTTTTATGCACTTCTTTTCACCTCTTCAGACTATTGTCCTGTGGGGCTGCTGTCATGTAACCGAGAATGGACTTCCAGTTCTCGTAAATCAATGTCGCAAACTTGAGTCAATTAATGCATGGGGGTTGAGGGTTCCTCTGACCTTTTTCAATGCTTTACTTGCCATTAGTCCGTCTCTTCAGATAATACCCAAAGTGCTGCTGCTAAATGCTGAAAGGGTTTCTATGTGGCCTGTCATTTAAGTTGCCATGATTTATATCATAGTTGCAAGCAAAGGCACTTCTATTATGTACAGATTGTTTGCAAGTGTGTTTCATATTTGGCACAACCAAAGAAACAAGTCAATGTTTATATCAATAAACATTATGTACAGATCAATTTTTACTGTATTTANTGGCACAACCAAAGAAACAAGTCAATGTTTATATCAATAAACATTATGTACACATCAATTTTTACTGTATTTACTAAGTGAATAATTTCAACGTGACTACCTTTGCAATGTGGCTCTTAAAAAAAAAAATCATGTATGAATTATTGTTTCTGAAAGCTATTGTTCATCAATTGCGAAACTTCACATATTAATTCTCTGAATCCTATCATTTGGCCTCTGAGAGAGAGAGAGAGAGGTACACCCTTTCCTCCCAGGCAGGAGAGTCATACAAACCAAGAGAAATTTACAAGCATAACTCAAATGCATCCACAACTTGAATGTAGAGACACCACCAGAGAGACATTTTTGACATCCGCCATCAATGCCATGATTANCAGAGAGAGAGAGAGAGGTACACCCTTTCCTCCCAGGCAGGAGAGTCATACAAACCAAGAGAAATTTACAAGCATAACTCAAATGCATCCGCAACTTGAATGTAGAGACACCACCACAGAGACATTTTTGACATCTNAGAGGTACACCCTTTCCTCCCAGGCAGGAGAGTCATACAAACCAAGAGAAATTTACAAGCATAACTCAAATGCATCCACAACTTGAATGTAGAGACACCACCAGAGAGACATTTTTGACATCCGCCATCAATGCCATGATTACTTGCTAGACAGATGAGCAAGTGGATTGAAAAACCTTCCATGACATAATTGAAATCCAGTTGAAAACTTGGCGCAACAAATAAAAATGATTCACTAAGGTTCAAATCTTTCGGGCTTTGGTTAATACAATCAGCTTTTGGACAAGTACAGTGAAATTGAAATCCAGTTAGTTTTCAGCGGAGATGCAATTCACCTCTCGAAAAGAAAAAAAAATGACTTGAGGTATACAAACCTTAAAAGGTAAATGAGAATGATGCTTATAAATGTCAAATGAATGACAAAAAATCGAAACTTCAGATTTATAAGAATGCACCAACTAAGCAAGCTTCTTGGCACGACCACTTGAAGGAGCACCGTCCTCTTTTTTGGCACCAGACAACTCAGGCTTCCTTGCCCAAGCAGGCGCTCTGTCTGGCTCATACCGATAATCATAAAAGAGTTCCTCCCCAGCACAAATTCGTTCATTGGCAAATATACCAACCCGATGATCCCCAGCCACCATCATAACCTGCCAAATAAATGTCAGCTGCACATAATGAGAGCTTGGCAAAATGCACTAATTTGAGATTCCTCAGAATTTTAAGTAATGCAAATTTTAGGCTATTCTTTTCTTTTTGATGGAAATGTATATTTACTTCTTCAATCAACACCGATATGAAAATTAGAGGCTAGGTTGAAACTTGTGCATTAGAGCAGTCAGACACGTACCTTTGCATAGCAATTGGGATCGGGAGAATGGTTGGCAAACTTCAATTTGTCACCCTTCCGGTGAGCATCAAGAACAAACTACATGAAAACAAGAAGTTGTAATTAAAGATTGATGTAAAAGAAGAAAGGGTTAATAATATTTTTGGTCCCTAAATTATGCATTTTTTATCAGTTCTCAATTTGGTCCTTTAAGTATCAAATCCGTCACTTTGATTCCTAATCAGACAATCCGTTTAGATTTTTGACGAAAGTAACCACGTGTCATTTTTTTAAATAGTGTCACGNAAATCCGTCACTTTGATTCCTAATCAGACAATCCGTTTAGATTTTTGACGAAAGTAATCAGGTGTCATTTTTTTAAATAGTGTCACANCCCTAAATTATGCATTTTTTATCAGTTCTCAATTTGGTCCTTTAAGTATCAAATCCGTCACTTTGATTCCTAATCAGACAATCCGTTTAGATTTTTGACGAAAGTAACCACGTGTCATTTTTTTAAATAGTGTCACGTGACCATTCTGTCAAAAACTTAACAGTTCGTCTATATAAGGACTAAAATAACACGAATTGAACACTTTAAGAACTAAATTGATAAAATTTATACAATAAGGACTAAACTGACAAAAAATATATATTTTAAGGACCAAAAGTGTTATTAACCCAAGAAGAAAAGGATTATTATCTCAAAATCAAAAGATTGCATCAATTATACCTGATCATTCAAATTGAAGAGAAATGAAGAATTTTCACGGTCATAAATTTTGCCACGTTTATCTGCTTCACGATGGGAGATTAGCTCTCCTGTGTACTCGCCAAGGTATTCATGTTTGCCGACGCTATTCTGCGCAATGACAGAGGATGAGCCTCGGTAAAATAAAAACCAAGATTAAACAGCAGTGTACATGAATATTACCTTCAAGAAAGCTCCCCAACCAGATACATCAGACCTTCCAAGCAAAACCTGTACATCAGTTGGTGCAAAAAGACGTCACAATCAAGTTTAGCAACGACAGCTTCTAGAAGTTACTTTCATGTTCAAGTTTTTCTGAGCCAAATGCAACCTACTTTTGTAATAAAAATAACTAAACCGCATAAAACATTGAAAAGAGCAACCCAGTATACGAGATTCTTGCCATTGCAAAATCAGAAAAGACTCAGATTTATGTAGCCTTATCCTGTATGCAGAGAAGCTATTTTTGTAACATAAACCTATGGCACCTATGTCTATAGACGGAATAAGAATTTTATCTTGGGAAGCACCAAATAATAACATAGTCAAGAACTTCATTCAATTGGGTGCATAAACAAATTATTGTTAGTGACAAGTTTTTAGTTGAATAGAGCATATCAAAATCAACTCATTCGATACCGATGTAAAAATAAATTTGGATCTTAAAATCCAAATATTGATTCTTAATAACTATCATAAAAATTAGTTTTTGACTATGCCACTGTCCCCTTATTGCCTTATTTACTATATGATGTAATGTCTATGAAAGAATTAACATCAAAGATAATAGTTTCACACAATACCATAGTAAAAAAAAGTCAATACATTGTTGTTGATATAATTAGCATTTGTAATCCACTTTTGCAGCAATTTCATTTGTTTTTTATTTTGTCATCAAACTCATCCAAGCAAGTGTTTTCCTTATAAAAGTAAGGCTCATTCATGTGTTAATATCTATCATTTGGTTATTAAATATCAAGATGTAAAGCTTTCTGGATGCACCAACTGAAATGCCCTGTGTAGGGTTTAAAAAACATGAGAGAATGTAGGATTTTTTGAAAACCGAGGGAAGTGTTATAAATTTTTTCAAAAATGTGGAAGAGGGAAGTGTCATTTTATCAACAGCCACACACTTATTCTAAATTATATTGGAGCCCAATTTTAACTCGGTGTTTAACAAAATAATATGGTCCAAACATAATTTATGTAGCCAACCACAAATGTCTGAGATAAAGGCTTTATTAAGTTGAGTTGAATGATGTTCAAGCCCAATTTTTTTATGCAGCAAAAATTTTAATGGCTAAAAGTTGTTTAGAGCAAGAATCCTCATGTTTTCATGAATTTCCAAATATAAGATATAATATAAACAAAAAAATTACTTAAAGATGGAGCAAGAATATATAAGAAGACAACTGCTCAATAAGACTCATAATAGAGTATTTATACTAGGGTTACAACAACTGTAGCATCTTAGCCCTTGATTGCTTCAATAAGCCCCTTATAATTGTAGACCTTCATGAAACTTGAAAGCCCACATGCCAATCACAAGACTATTTGAAAAAGAATAGGAGCATAAATACTATGTATAAAACTAATGTAAACAATAAAATAATCCAAAAATAAATTAAAACTCAGCTTAACTACAACCCAAGCTATGTCCAATAGTGGACCCACTTGGCCTATCTAAAGCCCGTGGATGCTCCTGATTGCTTCTTGAATGTCATCTATGTCCCAAAATCCTTGATGATTGCTATAAAAAGTTTCACATCACAACTACATATATGATACATAGTCATACACTTAGTCACACAATTCGTGACTTACAAGCAACAACGCTCCACGACTCAGAACGTCGATTCGTGAATTAAGATCGAATTCAACAATAATCCGTGTCTCTCACTTTCCTAAATTCGTGAACTCAAATAATTAATCCAAAAATTATAAATTTTAACTATTAACCATGAAGAACCTAAACCTTTATAACTGAGCCGAACCAATTATTGAGCATAAAACAAAGTCTAAAAAAAAAGGTCAATTGACAAAAAAGAGATAATTTACAAGATATGATCTATTTGAATCTAAAGTATCGATTCCAGCAAAAACCATATTAGACTTCAAAAAAAAAGAATTTTTTTTTTATTTTGAAATGGTTTGATATATGAAATGAATCTATTATTTTGATTTGTTACGTGTTTTGTTATTTTATTGAATTGAGTTGTGTGAATTTTGATATGTATAAAAGATCGCAAAAAAAAGTTTTGTTTTATGATTGTTCTATATATGTCTCTTTTGTTCAAATGAGTGTTTTGAAGAAAGTTCAGTTTAGTTTATGTAATGTTATAGAAAAAAGAGATTCTTGAATTTTTCCCTCCTGTTGAAAAGTACTCCATTCTTCATTGTACTCACTTCAAAAAAAAAGCTTTCCAACTGTGGGCCTCACACATAATGGAAGCATTTACCACACTTTATAGGAGTGTGTTGCTGCCAACTTGCACTGACCATCTGATGTGGGATGTGTTCCAATGAACAAATATGGCTTTCAAAGCCTTTTTATGAAGCTGTTTGCTGCCAACTCGTACTATGCCCATCCGATGTGAGATCTTATCCAAGAAATAAAAATGCCTTTCAAAGGCTTTTTGATTAGGCATTCACCCTATTATTTTTAATTTGTATACATGTAAATATGTATGTATGTGCATAGTGTGGCGCTCTCAAAGAGCTCCTGCTCTTAGATTTTTTTTAAAATTTTTCGCTTTTGTGCTCCGGCTCGGTGTGAGTTATGTAATACGGATCAACTGAACACCAAAAAGTTTTTAGTTAGTAGAGTTCAAATTAAGAATTACCTTCTTCCACTGGAAGATTGTCAAAGCTACCATACAAAATTTCAATTTCTTCAAGAAATGATACTGAAAACTTACAAAATATTAATTCCTTTCATCATAAAAAAAAATAATAAATCTTTCCCACAGTATAGCAGAATACCTATTTATGTCAAATGGATTCGGGTACGACTCAAGGGTGCGCATATGTGCTATGCTTCAGATTCATCTTAACACCAAAACTGGGGACACGGGAACATGGCAAAATATTCTTAGTTATTAATTTTTCATATTTTTTTTGGGCTGACATGGACGCTAGATGCATTTTGAAGAGTTCAAGTAACATAGATGCCCCTATACAAGATTACTGAAAGCTTTCTTAGAAACAAAGCTCAACTTGGAGTTTTCTTCTTAAATTTTTTGAAAAATTATTTTTGGATTGGAATCGTTCAGGGGGATAGTCCCAACTTGGAGCCTGATAGCAACACTTGTTTTCAAATTTGAATACTTCGCTTCAGCACAATATTCTCCTTCCAAAAATTAATTGAGGAGAGAGGTAGCACAAAATGACAAACACTTGCATGTTTGAGCATTGGAAATTGGAACAGGTAAAAGTTTGATTGACACATTACCTTTTGTTGTTGTTTGAGAAGAAGCTTCATATTCCTACATTCGTAATTATCACCTCTTTGGCAAGGAATTCCAAGAGTGCCATCACCACAACTGCAAGACAATTTAAAGAGGCTTGGAATGGAAAAAACTTAACAAGAAGAGGGAGAGAGAATAATATTGTCAACAGACAAGTATTCACAGGCAAACACTATGATCTTGTACACATTTTAGATCCAAATATTTTAAACCAAGCTATACACGGATCCATGTTTTAAAAAAATTGATATATGTAAACACAACTTGTAACAAGATTGAACCCATCAAACCTCATCAGTTTTCAGACGAAAAGGAGCTCGCAAAGGTCCCCCTCCCACCAAAAAAGGAAAATTTGAATACAAAAGAGAGTTATGTTTTGTTGATTGAAGAAGCCAGGCCAAGAATACAAGCACAGTTGCAGGTAATTGATGTTTTTCTTTTCAGCTAGTTAATTATTAGTAATATCACTTATTGTTTGAATACTAATTGTTTCGTTTTGAGTATACTAGAAAACAATGGATAAAGCAGGAGTTTGGATGCTTCTATCACAAAAGCAGTTCTCCCATGGATGCCTCTATCACAATATCTAGTCCATACTTTGGTTTCATCCTTCTGCTTCTCACTTGCCCCACTTGATATCATCCAAATCTATCCTTAGTACTAACGTGACATCAACAATGAAAATGGCAAAAGTTCTATTTACCAATTAAAATCCTAATAAATTTTTTAGCTACTAACAAGGAGACCGAGAATCCATTCCACTGGTCATTACTCTTCATAGAAGTACACCTATATATGTCCCCTGCTGATTTAGTACCCACTAAAGTTGTGGATAAAACAGAAAATAAAAAGTTCTTCATTGTTCATTGACATTATAGTCAGAAGTCCAAAAGAAACTTGAAAGCAGTGAAGCTTATTGTTGCCAATCATAACAAAACTAAAAATCCATCTGATATCCACCAGTTAAAAACATTGTTTCAATTAGGAATAAGACATCCACTCAATAATATTTTCAAAGAAATAAGGTTATATTTAGTCTTCCATCTACTGGTAGTTAAGTCATGCCAGTGAGCTGGAGTGGGGCATAGAAACATATTTTACATACAACAAATCCCATATTGCTTTTTTCTTAGATGAGAAACCATACTATACTAACAAAGGTTCAAAAAAGGGAGCCAGTGGCCAACTTTCCAACCACTAAATTAGGAGAGGGTCCCTGATCAGCAACCACACCTTTGGACAAGATTCTCGTAAGCTCCATATGTTCCACTTCCAATGAGTGTTCCTAGGGAATCCTGATTCAGCTGAGCCAAAATTCTACAGGAATTCAAAGATAGAAATTGGAATCCGTATGTTCCAAGTCCGACTACCCACTAAGCAAGTTCTGCGCTAATTTAAATTTTAAACACCTCCGTACGGATTACAAACTCAGAATGAAAAGAAAGAGGCATTGAATAATTCCCTCTTACATATTTTTTATCAAAAAGAAATCCACAATTCTCTCTTGATAATTGAATGTGAATGCTTATACCAAGCCATGGTAGGTTAGGGTTAATTCCGTTATTATCCACAAATAGTTGTGAGTTCAGATGTAGCTTTTGCTCTAAAATTTTACCGTCGTGTTTCTTGTGATCTATATGAACCTTTTGGAACACAATAATCTAGTTTGGAAGCTTTCCCCACACTAAATCATTGAAGCTTGTAAGAAATTTGTGCTCAACCCTATCCTGCTTAATGCTTCTGAGGTTCACAAAACAGCATCCAACTGCTTTAGCATCTTGTTCAGCTTCATATTATTTTGAAATGCAGACATCATTACTAGGGACTCCTAATGAATGTAATAACAAATATGTCTAATAGCTTCAAGTCTGCAAGACTAGTTTCCATTCCAACAAATTCTTAATTAGTGGTGGAAGAAAACATCCAGATGAAGAATAAGATCTCACCTGATCCAGCAGTTTCTGCAAACATCAGGATCGCATTCCCTATCTGCAGCAAAGCATGGACACTGACGACTCCTACACTGACTCTTTGCACAGTGACAGCCTCTAAATCGATTCTTGCATATCTTTGGACATCTAGAAAGAAAAAACAGAAAATTTAAATAAGATTCAATAGCTTACACATAGTATATTACAATTTATACATCAACACACCATGCGAAAACCTGGCTAACCTTCCAGAAAGACACATACATACATATATAAATATAGACAGGGAACCAAACTCAGCTAACCAGGACTAGACGCCAGTCAAAACTGAGGGAAAAAAGGAAGAACAAGCATAAGATAACGAAGAAAAGAAAATAGAAGATCAGAAAAGCAAATACAGGATGAAAGAAGTTGGAAACCAAATTGTGGAAGAGGGTTCCCAGAACACAAAAATAAATATAATCTGTGAAGGAACAAAAAGGGGTTACCCGCAGTACTTCTCACAGCAGGTCCCATTCACAAGGCAAGGGCACTCCTTTCCACAGGCAGATTGACACCCACATGGATTGTATTGTCGGCATGGCTGGTCTTTTCTCTCAGAAATCCGTTTCCTGATTGAATGGTATCCGGCAGACTTCCACGAATACTTTAGGCGTCTAACTCTACCTCTTCTACGCAAAAATCTTGATCGTCTTCTGACCTCATTACCCTAACACGGATTTCAACCAAATAATGAATAAAAAAGCCATCTACTGATTCATCATCATCAATTTACAAATGGATCCAATGCTACATGCTGAGAAACATGGAAAATACTAACCACAGGTTCGTTACCATCACCCTTGGAACAGCCTCCGGGCAGAGAATTTGCACGATCACCTGCTTGAATGGATAGCTTATTCTCGGAGTGATTCATGCATTTAAATACCTCAGCACATGTCCTCATACCATTCATAAGATTCCTGGCTATCAAACAGCTGTGTTGACGAATGAAAAATCCTTGTTAGACAGCAAATGAATTGGAAAAACTCAAGTGGTAACTACACAACAAATGTGAACAAAGATATTTGGAAAGTACATTATTCAGAAAAAATAATAAATTGCACGGTATATGATTTCAGAGAAGTGTGTCAGTTTGTCCTACCATTTGGAATGAGGAAATCTAACGGACCCTAAGAGACCAAGATAAAAAGTGGGTGTCACATGCCAGTTCCGATATATCTACCTACTCCAACCAACAGGTACATCAACTACATCTCCTAAGAAATCTGATTGACTTTATCATCAACATCTCTATGCCACAGATCAATTCAACACTAACGAAGGACTTCATCAACTCAATGCTAGCACTGATCATCAGCTAACCAGTTCAGCTCCTCCACTTCATTTGCTATCTACCAAACATTTTTCCTTTGTCAATACAGCTGTTTAAAATCCAGGAATCCTATGAGCAGTATGAGGACAATAAACCACTGATAGGATTCCTGGATATAAACATTTGCTATCTACCAAACTTGGATATAATCTTTATTTGCATGTTTTTCATTTGACATTTTTTCTTAAAACTTGAAAAAATGATAAAATAATCTATACTGCTCATAGGATTGTCCTCATACTGCTCATAGGATTATATCCAAGTTTGCTATCTACCAAACTTGGAAATAATCTGTATTTGCATGTTTTTCATTTGACATTTTTCTTAAAACTTGAAAAAATGAAACAAAATTTTTTCAAGTTTTAAGCAAAAATGTCAACTGAAAAACATGCAAACATAGATTATATCCAACTTGCTATAACAAAATTATATAGAAGTTGAAAACTAAAAATCCCACTTGAACAAATACATAAATTGAACTTGCTAACCTGTTCCTCCCAAAAATCTCCATGCCCTTTTCAAAAAGTGCTTTCTCAATAGCTCTCCAAGATTTAACATCACTTATGTCCTGTTTACAGATGTTTTCATCGACAAACTCTTCTTTCTTTAAGGCGCCATCACTACTATTTGCAGGTCGGACACTAATAACATCATTAGATAGATAATCAGGAACTTCACTCTGTACAAATTTGTCAGCATCCAGAACTGGAGACTCTTTCCTACTAGACCTTCTAGAACATGGAGATTTTATTTTCTGGGAACAAGAACTAGCATCCTCATTTTCTTTACATGAAGTCGATCGAAGCGTTATATCTCTTGAACCAAGACTTCCACTCGCAACAGAATCAGAATCAGAGGCTGCCAGTTTCTTCTGCCTTTTCCTTGTGGCAACTTTAAAATGCTCAGCAAATCTCTTGCTATTCCTTTTACGAATCCCAAATTTTCCAACAGCCTTAGTTCTAGATGGTGATGAAGAATGGCGAGTAGAAGTGATGTCATGTATGGGTCTAATATCTGAATCGCTGCTCTCTATCACATTTTTTGTGTTTAATGAAACGCTTTCACTTTGGCAAGACTTTGCTGGCCTGCGAAGAGATGGACCAGCAGATTTCCTCCTTGATATCAGAGCAACAGCAACATCAGATAAAGGGTTTTTCTCTTCAAAGTCAACCTGCATGTCAGAACTCACTGTAGCATTACCTTCCGCCTTTGGAACCTGGAATAAATCAATTTAAAGTTACTCAACAAGTTAGTCCATCAATTCCATAAGGAGAGTGATGCCTGCTAGCTTATCAAAGCAATCATTTACCAAGACATACTAAGATGCCATGACCGGTGTAGCACATTGCTAATAACTGCCAGCACACATCTGAAAGGAGTGTATGGAGCTGGGGGTTGCATTTGATCCATATAGTCTCTTAAAAACTAAGACAAGGGAAAAAAAAAAAAGAAAACGAACAATTACCAATCGATAACAATATGGGCCACATGGTACAGTTTCCTCGTCTGAGCAGCTCCAGGATGGTGGCTTCTCAGTCTAATAGTACAATAATTAAATAAGCATCCTATGAAATCCAGATAACTGTACTTCATAAGATATAATAAACTTACAGGGAAGATAAGGTCCTGTGAACACCCATGTAATCTACAGTCAAAGACCTGCCAGTTAAAAAATGAGCAAGAAAATGTTAGCAAAGGGGAGACCAAAAATGCCATCAAAGAAACTACAGAATGAACAAACAAATGAATAGTGCTTACAAGACACCGGCGACAAAACAGGTTGTCAAAGGAATCAAGAGCAGCATCAAGATCTTTATCAATATATGAATTCTCTGTGCCTTCAATATCCCTATTCTTACAATCCCCCACAGCATTTTCTTCCTCAATAAGAACTTCGTATCGCGCCTGTATAAGATGTTTGATGGTGGTTCATATGTTGTCTGTAAAGCCAGCAGAAAACAAATGGGAAACTGCTGGACCAAAGTTCACACCATGACCAGTTTTTTTAGATAGAGAATTGAGAGAAACAGCATAACAAAAATCAAGGCAAACACCTCATTCATGTTAGGCATTTCCACGACTCTACCACCCAGTCAGTACATACCTTGACTTCACCTGGTTTTCTAGACAAGCACTGTGCCAGTAAATCCAACACAGCATCCGATATGCCAACTTCTTTGATGGTCATTCTGGACACATACAAATTACATCACAGTAAGAGTATAGGCTATTATTATATCTCCATGCATTAGATAGCTAATATCGTACAAAACCAAATAAAAATACAAATTATATTATTATTCCAACAAATATGAGCAAAACCTCGACTTTATTGCTAAAATATGCTAAACAAAGTGCATACATTGAAAACCACAAGTACACCAAATATCATGGCAGGCAGACCTCAAAGAAGATTCAGAAAAACAAGAAATTTCTAGTGCAATGATAGTGATTTCAAGGATGATGATGTTCAACTTCCCTTCTTCTTCTTCTTCTTCTTCTTCTTTTTTTTTTTTTNTCAATTCCATAAGGAGAGTGATGCCTGCTAGCTTATCAAAGCAATCATTTACCAAGACATACTAAGATGCCATGACCGGTGTAGCACATTGCTAATAACTGCCAGCACACATCTGAAAGGAGTGTATGGAGCTGGGGGTTGCATTTGATCCATATAGTCTCTTAAAAACTAAGACAAGGGGAAAAAAAAAAAGAAAACGAACAATTACCAATCGATAACAATATGGGCCACATGGTACAGTTTCCTCGTCTGAGCAGCTCCAGGATGGTGGCTTCTCAGTCTAATAGTACAATAATTAAATAAGCATCCTATGAAATCCAGATAACTGTACTTCATAAGATATAATAAACTTACAGGGAAGATAAGGTCCTGTGAACACCCATGTAATCTACAGTCAAAGACCTGCCAGTTAAAAAATGAGCAAGAAAATGTTAGCAAAGGGGAGACCAAAAATGCCATCAAAGAAACTACAGAATGAACAAACAAATGAATAGTGCTTACAAGACACCGGCGACAAAACAGGTTGTCAAAGGAATCAAGAGCAGCATCAAGATCTTTATCAATATATGAATTCTCTGTGCCTTCAATATCCCTATTCTTACAATCCCCCACAGCATTTTCTTCCTCAATAAGAACTTCGTATCGCGCCTGTATAAGATGTTTGATGGTGGTTCATATGTTGTCTGTAAAGCCAGCAGAAAACAAATGGGAAACTGCTGGACCAAAGTTCACACCATGACCAGTTTTTTTAGATAGAGAATTGAGAGAAACAGCATAACAAAAATCAAGGCAAACACCTCATTCATGTTAGGCATTTCCACGACTCTACCACCCAGTCAGTACATACCTTGACTTCACCTGGTTTTCTAGACAAGCACTGTGCCAGTAAATCCAACACAGCATCCGATATGCCAACTTCTTTGATGGTCATTCTGGACACATACAAATTACATCACAGTAAGAGTATAGGCTATTATTATATCTCCATGCATTAGATAGCTAATATCGTACAAAACCAAATAAAAATACAAATTATATTATTATTCCAACAAATATGAGCAAAACCTCGACTTTATTGCTAAAATATGCTAAACAAAGTGCATACATTGAAAACCACAAGTACACCAAATATCATGGCAGGCAGACCTCAAAGAAGATTCAGAAAAACAAGAAATTTCTAGTGCAATGATAGTGATTTCAAGGATGATGATGTTCAACTTCCCTTATTCTTCTTCTTCTTCTTCTTCTTTTTTTTTTTTTTATAAAGTTTTGGCTACTAGATCAATACATTCTAGAAGGCACCACTTATTTTAAAATCAAATTCGATTTTCAAGATAAGTAAACAAAAACTCAAAACAATTGTTTTTGTTTAAAAGATGGAAGAAAATTTCTTTAACCATCACTTAAGCAGAAGAAATGGGGACAGGGAGGAGATGGCGAATTCCATGGCAAGTTAGAACATAATATATATTCAGAATAGGAGTAAATAGAACATGTAAGCCACAATTACTTTTATCATGCAAAAATAAAGAAACAAAAAAAAAATTACTAAAGAAATAATTGGCAAACAATCCATCCAGCTCAGCCCAGCCCAAAAGCAAAATTCTTCATTATATGAAGATGGGTACACCATATAGAAGTTTGGTTGCCCTGTGAATATTGCATCATGACTAAACCAAGAAAAAGAATATTGTGTTTCCCCTCGCTTCATTCGGAGTTCTCTATTTTCTTGTTTTTTCCTTGTATTTTGCAGGATGGGGGCTGAAGGCAAGGGTGTCAAGAATTGAACAACCTAGTCAAAAGCATCAGTTAAACTTACTGTTTCTGCTAAAAAAGAAAAATAAAATATTCTAGCAACATGGAAAATGTCAGAAATATTACCAGTAGAAGCCACTCCAAAGGTATATAAATAGAAAAAGGAATGAAAAGAACATAGGACCAATGTATGAAGGAATCAGATTATTTATTTACACCAACCGAAGAACATAATCTTCAGAATCCACAAATTCTCTCTTTTCTTCTTCATCAATCACTTCTTCCTCACTATCACTGCAAATCAGAGCTTCACCCCCATTTTGATCATAGTAGATTCTCCTTCGACCTACTACTGATTGATCCTCTGTCATTCTTTGATTTCTGCATCATATTCATGGTAAACTCAATAATATTTCACACAAGCTCAAATGACATGCAACAAACAATAAGAAATGAGACAGACACAAGATTATTTTATACAAAAGAGCAATTTTAAACAGAAAAGAACAAATCTGGAAAATAGCAAATATCCTTCTATTTCCATTTTTCTTGATTTAGCCACCACTAAAAAAGGAAAATGAAAAGATAAGCCAATCTGCAAACTGAAATTCTTTCATTACCAATCAGCTGCTGCCGCCACACAACTGACCATTCTGCTCTCTAAAGTCCAACATCCTAATTGCTAAGCCAATTCATTAATTGGAAATGTTGGACCTAGCATTTTCATGAATAAAGGTGACAAATCTTCATTCACCATTTCATCATAACACCCCTTTGACGAGTTGGGGTCTGATATCATGTGGCTGATTAAGTGGTCTGGTTTTGATTTATAAGACACCTGTGCCTCTCTAAAGGCATGAGGTGTTGTGAATAGCTTGATTAAGCAGGTATTCAAAATCTAAGACCAAACCCAAAATAAGAAACCAGATGAAAATGCGACAGAGTTTGATGGGCAATACAATGGATGACACCATATGAAACAGGAAATGTCCTCAAGACCTTATGTCGAAATGGAATTCTGTAGCCAATGCCAACTAGTTCAGACCAAAGTCTTTGTAAAGTATGATATCATGACAAGTACAGATCATATCACTCCAGAAATCATCAATTTTATGAAAAATAAACATAGAATCATAGATTAATGACTACCATGGCATTCATAGTATTGAAGCAATAAAAAGTTAAAAACTATAAAATATTTCCAAATTACCACTTTGTGTTTATAGATGAGCCAGAGTGAGGTCAAGAAGCTGAGGAAAGAAACATAAGGACTAGAAACAAGTGAAGGGGAATTAAAAAAAAAAGCATGTTATTATTACAAAGCACAAAAGAAACACTATGTTGCACTTCTTTGTTCCTATAAACATTGCAATCTCAACCCACCTATCCAAGAAAATCCATGTGGTGTAAGGAGGTAATCTTTTAACTTCTGCAAGCTTGAGGGGGCGAACGGAATTCTTGACTGCAATACTAGAACCTAAAAGAATTGTCGAAGAAGCATGTCCATCTTCTTCAAAGCTGTTACTGTCACTATCCACATTGCTTGTATCAATACCATTTTGCTTATCAATTGCATCTTTCTGTCTCTTTGTCAATAAATTTACACTTCTATCAGAGTCAATAATTGTAAGGTTTTTCCTTTCAAGGGCCAATTTATACATACTCTTGGTGACTTCAACCAACTTTTGCATATTTTCCTCCATTCTTTTCTGAAACAAAAATATCAAAGAGTGAAAATTAAATAACATATTATGCAGCAGGATTCTTAATAGAGTTAATCTAATCGAATTTTTAGAACAATCTCAGGTAGTAAAAAAATTAACCTTTACAAATACATCTCGATCAGTAGCAACTTGTTTCTTCAAAGAATCGATGACTGATAGAATTTCCCGAGGTGCTGGACTTGGTTCTTGCATTCCAGCAATCTGTGAAAGATCAACATTAGGCTCAGTTTACTAAAGATTACAAACTATTATTTATCCAGAAAATAGTAGAAATTTAGGACGAAAGAAGATGAATGGAAAATGAAAAGTAGTCACTAACAATAAATGCATTGCAGGAAATTTAATGTAGTAAACATTGAATGTGCTTCTTCACCAACATTGGTATACATAGAATTAGAACTGAAACATCCAAGTAAAGAAAACAAAAAAAATATGAGTACTAGGAAAAATCCTGTNAACATTGGTATACATAGAATTAGAACTGAAACATCCAAGTAAAGAAAACAAAAAAAAAAAATGAGTACTAGGAAAAATCCTGCAACCGATCACTTTCTAAACTATGACAATCCCCATCTTTCTCCATATACAAAGGCCTCAATACTGCTTTCCCCTTGCTTCTAACCCCGAACCCTAGATTCTTTCTAACACAACATCACAAATGAAACACAAGGAAAAAGGATATCAATAATTAAACAACGAGAACGCAACACAAATACTACAACGCGTCTGAATTCCAATCTGNGGCCTCAATACTGCTTTCCCCTTGCTTCTAACCCCGAACCCTAGATTCTTTCTAACACAACATCACAAATGAAACACAAGGAAAAAGGATATCAATAATTAAACAACAAGAACGCAACGCAAATACTACAACGCGTCTGAATTCCAATCTGGCTATTGATTTGTTCGATATTTAAACTGAATTTCCCGGAATTCCATCAAGATCACTGCAATAGCCGTAATAGTCCATTAAACGTGAACATAAAAGTACAATGTAGCAGCTAAAAACACTCTGATTTGGTTGCGCCAGAAGATCCAATAGATGCATTAACAATGGAGAAATAAAAGATAAACACAAGTACCTTAGGATCATTGGGAGGCGCCGATCTCGAGGCGGAAGCGGCAGGCAAGGGCTTCGCCGACGACATTGCCGGTAACGAAGCTTGGGGGGCTGTGTCGAGTTCGATACGGCAGTGGATTGGTTTAGGTGAGAGATCTGATTCATGCAGATGCAATGTGGGGATGGCGATTGGGCGGGCCGGAGTTGAAAGTTGAAACCCTAGATTTGACCTTTGGGGTTCCAATATAAGGGCGATTTTAATATTTTGATTTAAAAGACCGTTTCGGCCTTTTTTACATTTGGGGGGAAGAGGAAACGTGGCCTTTTTTTGAATTGTTGTCTACGTCTCTTCTTCATGGACTGTGGACCCACCTCTGATAATTTTTTTTCCCGTTTCAGGTTTAAAGCTACGGTGAATATTATTCATTTGAATTTGCATGGATAAAATATTGCAGGGGCAGTTTCACCGTACTTTTATGCAATGCTAGGTAGGAATGATAGCGAAAGGATGGAAAAATAGTAATAGCAGCAGTTTTTAATCTTTGAAGAAAGTAAAAGATTTTTCATCTTTTGTCGGTTAGTGTTTGAAGGGGCAGGAGAAAATCTTTATACCACATGATAACGTAGTATTATTAATTAATAATAAAATTTTAAATAAATAAATAAATTCTACAAAAATTAACAAACAACATGTCATCGAAGTAAATAACTCCCTATCTATGAAACACGAATATTTCGTTAAAGTCAGCGTACTCGTATCAGATACGATATTTATCGAATATTTGATAATACGTATTAGATATATCTCCTACGTATTCGATAATAATTAAATATTATGATATTTTACGAATATTTTTGTATTTAAGCAATATATATAATTTTTGAGTTAAATTTTTAACATTTACTTTCGAATTCACGTATTATACAATACATTAATAAAATTTTATACTACTTCAAAGATACATGAGTATTTTTTAAGTATTATTNACTGTGGACCCACCTCTGATAAATTTTTTTCCCGTTTCAGGTTTAAAGCTACGGTGAATATTATTCATTTGAATTTGCATGGATAAAATATTGCAGGGGCAGTTTCACCGTACTTTTATGCAATGTTAGGTAGGAATGATAGCGAAAGGATGGAAAAATAGTAATAGCAGCAGTTTTTAATCTTTGAAGAAAGTAAAAGATTTTTCATCTTTTGTCGGTTAGTGTTTGAAGGGGCAGGAGCAAATTTTTATACCACGTGATAACGTAGTATTATTAATTAATAATAAAATTTTAAATAAATAAATAAATTTTACAAAAATTAACAAACATCCAAATAACTCCCTACCTATGAAACACGAATATTTCGTTAAAGTCAGTGTACTCGTATCAGATACGATATTTATCGGATATTTGATAATACGTATTAGATATATCTCCTACGTATTTGATAATAATTAAATATTATGATACTTTACGAATATTTTTGTATTTAAGCAATATATATAATTTTTGAGTTAAATTTTTAACATTTACTTTCGAATTCACGTATCATACAATACATTAATAAAATTTTATACTACTTCAAAGATACATGAGTATTTTTTAAGTATTATTTACAATTATATGTCAAAAGAGCATAAAATAAATCTATTATGTTATAATTTGAGCAAAAATTACTTATAAATAAACCAACTTCATAAATATTAGTTTTGATTTCTTTAATTAATCAGTTAACTTTGTGAATATACCATAATGATATAATATATATTTTCTTGAAATGTAATTTTTTTATTGTATTAAAGAATTACCAAAATATATAAATATTAAGTTGGTTGAAAATAATGAAAAATATTAAATATATTTTATTATAGCCTTATTTTGACTGTACTCGTATCCTATTTTTTAAAATTTTGTCATATTATCGTATTCGTATCGTATCGTACCTGTATCCCGTATCCGTATCCATATTTTATAGTTTCCTACTCTTCTTTCATGTAAATTCAAGTGAAATATATCCTACCCACTTGAGATTTTATTATTGATCGGCGTACTATGTTATCAATAGNATCTACAATTATATGTCAAAAGAGCATAAAATAAATCTATTATGTTATAATTTGAGCAAAAATTACTTATAAATAAACCAACTTAATAAATATTAGTTTTGATTTCTTTAATTAATCAGTTAACTTTGTGAATATACCATAATGATATAATATATATTTTCTTGAAATGTAATTTTTTTATTGTATTAAAGAATTACCAAAATATATAAATATTAAGTTGGTTGAAAATAATGAAAAATATTAAATATATTTTATTATAGTCTTATTTTGACCGTACCCGTATCCTATTTTTTTAAATTTTGTCATATTATCGTATTCGTATCGTATCGTACCTGTATTCCGTATCCGTATCCATATTTTATAGTTTCCTACTCTTCTTTCATGTAAATTCAAGTAAAATATATCCTACCCACTTGAGATTTTATTATTGATCGGCAGCATACTATGTTATCAATAATAACATGAAATCACAATTGCATTCAATATTTACTCTTAGGCGAAGATAGAAAAGTAGAAAAAATAGATCTATTATTACTTTATTTGGTATGAAAAAATTAAAAATATATTATTAATAAAAATTTAAAAATACCCTTAATGGAATATGAATAATCCATTGACTCCAGAAGATTTAATGGTAATTAGCCATTTCATAAAAGTTGTTGAACTCCATTCTGCCTAACATGTCAGGCATTTTTGTCATTTTCTGCCCAAAAACAAACGGATCAAAACTGGTGGGATGGATTACTTTTCCATCCATTATTTTTTCTCTCCATCTTTCTTTTTTAACCAAACAATAGAAAATTATAAAACAAAAAGTTTCCTTTCTACTTTCTATTTACCATTTTTCATTTATCCTATTTTCATCTATACCAAATAGGAAACAAAAAGTTATATGATTAATTATAAAATATTGTGATCATTTATGGATTAGTTGAATAAGATTAATTTCTCTTTTTCGAGTTATAACTTAACCTTTAAAAATTTTAATTTTTATGATTAATCATAATATTTTAAGATCAATTATACATTTTATAGTTATAACTGCAAAAATTATACCTTAACCTTATAAAATTACAATTTTTAATACAATCAAAATTAAGTTTTCCCAATATTTTTCAATTTTGTGTTTTCAGTTTTCTAGCTTATTCTATTTCTCCAAACCTAAATCACACGTTTAACACTATACTTATGTTCAAAATTCAATAATGATGCATATACATTATTTTTGTAAACTGACAATTAAATATGATTTTGTGTTTTTTTAAAAAAATGTTGTTATTTCTTAAAAAAAAATGTGATAATTGATAAATGGCACATAAGCGTTTTGGATTGGATTGGATTACCGATTCTTTTTCCTAGACTACTCATCTTTCCGCAGGCCCATAATTAAAGGACTAAAGCTACGGTCCGGCCCTTTATTGGATGATAACGATATCCCAGAGGCAGCGGACCCAGGGAAAAACACTTGGTAGTGGGGAGGATATGAAGGTGGGCGGTGGAGTGGTGTTCGGAGGTCCACGCGCCGCCGCTTTGCCCACTGTATTTCTCCGCCATCGCAGACCCATCTTCCGATGCTACTCATCTTCCTCTACTGGTATAGTATATACATGCATACATGAATGCAATGTTATACCCAGAAGAAAATGAGTAAATACACTTGAGTCGATTTTTATTTCTGTTTGTTTGTTTTTGTAGAATGATTTTTTTTTTTTGGAGTTTTGTGCTCATGTGAATTCGATTAATTTATATTTTTGGAATCCAGACCATGTGTCATTTATCAAGGACATAGCGGCAACACAACCTCCAGAGCATTTGCATCATCTTTTGAAAATGCTTAAGGTGAGAGGTAAGGCAGTGATCCAACTCTCAAGCACTTACATTTTTGATTGAAATTATCCATTCACTTGTTAATGAGAAGTTTATTAGATGGATCATGTATGAGGTTATAGTTTGCTAATCTGCCCTTCATTTAATTGTCCATTGAAGCATCTGGTTTTGAAATGGTTGTTTTGTTACCTTGTATTTCTCATTTCGAATCCAAACTCCACTAGCCCTAATCTTAGTAGTCGGATAAGCTGCATATGATTTTTTTGAAAAACCAGAATAATAGGAAAAGGCCTTCAGCTCTGGGTTCCCAATCTTTTTCAAGAATTCTGGCGACTGAGTGAGGCTGATCTGCTAACTCACGTGGAGAATATAAGGAAACCCGGTGACATGAGGAGCCAAAAGAGGTCATTCCTCACTTGAATTCCAAAAGAGGTCAGTACCAACCGACTATCTAGATTTAGGCCAATTTCTTTTTGTAATAAACAAATCTCAGCCAAAAGGATTTAAAATAGAATCAAGAGAATCATAGACAGGCAAACTTGGTATGGGGCTCGCAGGAACAGGCCGTGTTCACTTACATTTTCTATGCATATTCAATAACAAGTAAGATGTCTAATTATTGGTAATAAAGTTAGGTAAGATGTCTAATTATTGGTAATAAAGTTTCCTCATTGGAAAACTTGTTTTGAATGTTAATGTGATGAACTCATGCTGTCAAATGAAGTCCTGAATTCCATTTTCCAGTCTAATGTAGTTAGTAGTTGACAAATTAGTTACTCTGAATTTTAAATCAATTGTCGTTACTCGGTAGCGATAATACCCCAACATGACCAACATTTTTGTTCTTAATGTCTTCAATGTTTGAGATGTCTAAAGGATGCCTTCTTGCTGATTTTCTTGATTGGTGAAATGTTTATAAACTTCCTGTCTTTTTTTTTTTTAAACAAAAAGATTAAATTTTGTAACAGGTGAATCCATAATCTCTCCTGGTGCCAAGCAAGGGCTGATTCCCCTTGCTATCCCTCTGTCAATGAACAGCTCAGGTTTGGTTTGGGTTGGTGGTTGATGCAAATCTCTGTGAGTTGAAGGTGTTATCTCATTAGATATGATTTTCTTCGTAATAGGTTCTATAACTGCACTGCTACGTTGGCCAACTGCTCCTCCTGGGTAAAGAAACTCAAGTGCTGATGTTTTCATTGTGGAGGCTTTGTTTTGTTTGATTTATCTTCTTCCGTACACAGGATGGAGATGCCAGTCGTGGAGGTTCGCAAATACGGAGTGTGGCTTCTGGCTAAGAATGTAAGTTTTTTGGCATATGGTATGTGGACTTTGGCTAAATATCTATTACTGAAATCTCTTCGGTGACTTTAATTTGTGCTTGCTTATATACATGTATGAAACCTCAGTTTGTGCTCTCTCTCTTTCCCCCCCCCCCCAAAAAAAAAAAAAAAATCCAATATGCAGGTGGACCAGTATATTCATCGACTCTTAGTTGAAGAAGATGCCAAAAACTCTCAGGAAGGCAACAAAATGTTATTTCATGCTACAGCTGATGCTGGGGAGAAACTTTATAAGAAGGGTGACTTTGCTAAATCTCAGATTTCAAGTTTGGATGTCTATCTCTTGAAAAAGGTACCAAAGGCATGTACTTTTGTCACCTTTCTTGACAGACTGCCAAAATAACCAATTTTGTTTCTAGGTTGGTTTGTTTCCGGATATATTAGAACGCAAAGTGATACATCATTTTGAGAAGGGGGACCACGTAAGGCTAACATGATTTTGGTTAATTATATCTGAGAATGCAAGTTTCCTCAAGTTGTGCATTGGTAATCATTTATACATGATGGTGGAAAGGTCTCAGCTTTGGTGACTGGAGAGTTTTATACAAAGAAGGAGCATTTTCCAGGATTTGGACGGCCTTTTGTCTTTAATGCAGAGGTTTTACTGAGGTTTGTAAAACCCTTCCCTCACTTCCGTCAAGAAATTGCACTGTAATTTTCGACCAACATTTTAACTGTCTTTTTCCGAGGAGCCTTTTCTGCATTTTATAGAGTTGGACGTAACCCAGAAGCTAAAGACGCTGCAAGAGGCGCTCTGAAATCACCCTGGTGGACTTTGGGTTGTGAATACAAGGTGTGTGGACTTTGAGTTATATCTTTTGTGCGGTTGTCATGCTCTTTTGTTCTTTATCCTGGTGATCTTTTTCCCTGTATGCTTGGTTATATTGGTTTGGTTCATGCATATTCAGGAAGTTGCTAATATAGCTCAGTGGGAGGATGAACAAATTGAATACATTAAGGAGAAGTTGACAGAGGAAGGCAGGGAAGAAGATTTGAAGAAGGGAAAGCTACCTGCTCAGGTTTTACATTTTAGTAGATTCCCTATATATCAGTTTCACACTTAAGATCATGAATTCATGATAGAAGTTCATGTTTCTCTCTCCCTCAAATCTCCAGATTGCATTGGATGAAGCTGCTTTTTTATTGGATTTAGCTTCCCTTGAAGGGGCATGGGATGATTTCATTGAGCAGATTGCCAGATGTTACAAGGAGGCTGGGCTTCATGACATTGCAAAATTTGTAATATACAGAGATTAAGAGAGAATCTGAACGCAAGGTGCTGTATTTTCTTTCTTTTATATTTGAAAGAGTTTCAGGAACAACATATAACCGGGGCAGATTCTAGTCATTGTCCCTTTCCACTGCCTTGTTCTCTCTGGCTCTCTCAGCTGACTTGGGTAACTTCTTCAGTGAGAAAAAGGATTCGAGCAACACAGGAGCACTCATGATGGTCACTGCTTCTCCGCGAAACAAGCATTAAAATGAGCTTACTTATAGCCCATCTTGTAATCCTTTTCTGGGCAGATTATTTGGATTGTACCTCTGCCTGAATCTGTACTTCTTCATTTGAATTAATTCAGAATTGCCTCAATTTATTTATATGTACGGGGGCTATATGCCTCTGGTGTTTTCCAATTGTGAACATTCTTTCGTTTCCACAACAGATTTTTCATCAATCCCCCACCTTTTTTTCCAATAGGCACGGCCACCAAGGAATTACCTCCAGCTTCATTTTCTTGAGTTTTAATCCTGTTTGAATTGCTAACCAGAAAGGTAGGAGGGTTGGAATCGCAAATTACTTCTTTGGTCTCGGAAACCATGAGATCTTCACCTTCAAAATCATCTTCTGCCAGCAATTTATTCAGTAGAGAGGAGGACCTCTCATTGATGTTCTTACTGGGGGTGGTTGTGGTGGTGAAAGTATAAATGGGAACAGAGATGAACCTGTCAAAAAGGGTTGCGTCTCTGGGTGAGGCCAACGCCTTCAACTGCTTCCCCAGGTTATGAATCGTTTCTTGGCACTGTGCCAATTTTGCTGAAACTTCTGTGATCTCCCAATCCTACATGGTTGAGTTATAGTTTGGAGTCATAAATAGTTCAACAAACTGTAAGCATCTAATATAGTTGATCATGAAGTATCATTAATCTCTTAATGTATTAGTACGCCGAGAAATTAATATCTAACATCTGTGTACACATCATAACTCCAGTGTTGTATTTAATGCTGCCCGTCTCAAGCCATTATAAAGGAGGAGGTTCAGCGTAAAATTTTGTCGGATCCACCATGATGAGTCCATGGTTGGTCTGTACAAATGACATCATGACAGTGTGTCTATATGGAGGAATAAAAGAAGATGGGAACTTACAGTTTGGAGTTGATTTTCTTCTTGTTCGATATCAGACTTTGGGATATCCCTCTTTGTCACACTGAAACCAGCAATCTAGAAAACTCAGATTCCACTGAAAAAAATGTGATTTCGAAGAGAACAAAAGCGAAAATGTACCTTTCTAGCTGGAGCTGCAGGTCAAGAGAAGTAGACTCCAATTCTTCACAATAGTTAATTTTATTCTCCATTTCCATCTCTAGAGTTGAAAACTTTTGTTGAGCCTCATTCAGTTCAACCCTGGCCTCTGTCAGCTGTCTATCAAGATCTTCTTTCTCCATCTTGTGATTTCCAATCTGCTCTTCAATCATTATCTTTGATTGCTTCATCGATTCAACGTCTTTTTGCAATCTTTCAATTGTTTTTTCAGATTCTTGAAGTTGAATCATTAAGGCTTCACTCTTATCAGTCTCTGACTGGAGTCTCCCTTCTAAATCCTTCTTAGCAGATTCCATCTTCTCCAACTCATTTCTTAATCTTCTGCTTTCTTCTCTCAACTTAAGCTTGTGATTTTTCTTCTGCTGTTCAATCATTGCATTTGCTTGGTTCATAGTTTCTACATCTTTTTGCAAGTTTCCTATTGTCTTTTCGGATTCTTGAAGTCGAATTGTCAAGGATTCACTCTTATCTGTCTCTGACTGCAGTCTCCCTTCTAAATCCTTCTTTGCAGATTTCGTATTCGCCAACTCATTTTTTAATCTTCTACTTTCGTCTCTCGCCTCAGGCTGAAGTTCTTCCAATTGACTCCTCATTCCACCTTCTGCCTCACTCTCACTTATTGATTCATCCCAATCAAAGTGCTTCTTGATTGCATCCCTCATGCTAGAAACATCTCGAAGAGAAAAGCAATGATTCACAATCCATTCTAAAGCAGAAGTTAACTCTTTGGAAAATCTTTCAAGATCTGCCTTTCCATTTAACAGATCATTGCAAGTTTGAACAAATTGCTGTAGAACAGCAGCGAGTTCAGAAGTTTTCCATTGGAAAACACGAGCCGTGTAGCCTGTGGGTGTCTCTGAATTCTCAAAGGATGGGAAAATACCATCCTTCCCGGTCAAGGTATCTTTAATGCGGTAATCTGGCGATGGTAAACTGATCCCTCCTATGAGCTCAATTGTTTTACGTATTGATTTACTGAGATTTGACTGGATCTGCTGGTTGCTCTTCTTAGCTGATGAGGTATGCTCACCAGCTTCTCTATCAGGTGAATCCATCAATGAAGGTTTATCTCGAGGTTTCCAAGAAATATAGCCACTAGCATGCGGGGAATTTGATGCATCAGGATGGTTTAAGCTTTCGGTGTCCAAACTTTCGCCAGCTGCTTCCAAGGAATGTTCAACTACCTGATTTTGCAAGGGGCCATCAGGTGCAGCATTATCCTCTGAAGCAACATGAGAATTTCCACATGGCTCATCTGCAGATACAACTGCTAACTTTTCCTTCACATCAAAGTCATCCATCAGATTTATGTCTGAAGCTCCAATAGTTTTGTATGATGATGTCCCCATTTGTTTCCCATTTCTGAAATGCTCCAATTCTGACATCAAAGCAGAAGCCGATGCGTCTGCACAATGGACTTTGTCAACTTCAATCTTCATTTTTGCCAGGGCAGCAGGACCTGGTAACCACTTCTGAACAAGACGTGGCCTCTGACATTCTGATTCCAGGTTTGCAATTTTCTTTACACTCTCCAAGTGTTGCTTGTGTGATACATCAGCTGTTCGACGAGTAAATTCTCTCTCCTCATTCTGAACTTCAAGCTCCTTCTCAAGCACACGAACCTCATACTTCAGAGAAGAATTCTCTTTTTCTTTAGATTCTAGTCCAGCCATTTGGGCATCTAACTCTGACTCTGCCTGAGCTCTTTGTTTGTTTAAATATTCAGTCACATTGCCCTTTGCCAAGAGAGCCTTACTGAGCTCAGTATTCTCAGCACCTAACCTGGCAAGCCTTTTACCGGTCGCTGTTAACTTCTCCTCTAACACAATCCTCGTTTTTTCAGATTCTCGTGATGTTGTTGTCATCACAGCGTTGTGAATCCTCGTCTCCTGTTCTTCTCGAACAAAATGCAACTGCTGCGTACATTCCTTCAGAGCCCCATCCAAATGAAATATTCTTTCTTGGCCAGATACTATCTGCTGTAAAGCTTTTCCTTGTTCTTGCTTCAATGATATTGCTTCAGCTTCTGCGTTCCCCAGGCCTGAATGAACAATTGCCAGTTGACTTGGAACTCAAAACCATGTGAAAATGGTAAAGAGAAGCAGAAAGTACATATAAATTGTGTGATCAAAATAAATACTAACCTGAAAAGTCTTCTTGAGTGAGTTTTGCCTGTACCTTTGCGTATTCATCTTTAGTGTTACGCTCGGAGAGGGCCGAAGATACATCTCCTTCATTCCCTAACAGAGAAAGGTTCAATTTCTCAGCTGCAACCGTGGTTTTCTCAGTAAACCTTTTATTCCAGAGCCATGTCTTGTGATCCATCGTTTTCATGAAATATTCCAGACGAATATCACATAGGAGTCTAAATCAGCTACTACTGTTAATCAAATGCATTTCAAAAAGAGAACAATCAAGATTGAGGACCCTTGTACAACAACGTTTTAGAGTGCACAAAAATAACTGTGCAATACCATTAGTAATGTGGCAATGCCTCATCCTAGTTATTTAAGGTCAGCAATGCAATCTTTCCAATTATCTAATTCTATCAAGGACTGTTGTGGTAGAAGTAGAACGATGCACTTCAACATAGTTTTTGCCAGTCTTATAAGCATTAAGCATCTGCATTTAGGCTAATGGTACTACTAGTCAACTACACTCGCTTATTTATGCGCTGACTGAACTTGTTTAGTAGACAAGACCTGTTCTGTAGCATGCTTCGGGCAAAAGCTGGAGCCCGATTCCATTGATTCCAAAATTTAGTTTTGATTCAAATCTCTCCTCAACTNGCGCTGACTGAACTTGTTTAGTAGACAAGACCTGTTCTGTAGCATGCTTCGGGCAAAGCTGGAGCCCGATTCCATTGATTCCAAAATTTAGTTTTGATTCAAATCTCTCCTCAACTGAGAACCCTACCTGCACCACAACCTATCATAATTCCTTACCAACCACCTCCCGTCTACAATCATAGATACATAGCATTGGGATATTTGGAGTTGGTTTAAAGGCGTGACCCATTTTCTTTTTCTCTTTTTTGATTTATTTAGTGGGGTTACCGCCATTCTTTCGACTTTTGTTTCAGTATTATCAAGATCCTTACTTACGCAAACTCAGATTAGTAGACAATCAAGAGTCATAACAACTAGCCTTTCATGTGCTTGTGAAAAACTCTGAATCAAAAGTTATCCATCACTTTACGTAATGCATCTAACCTACTTTAACGCTATGTTTGGTACTATGTAATGTATTTATGTAGGAATGAAATAGAATGGACATGGAAATAGAATGGAATGTGTATTATCATTCTAATGATTGATAATTAATTAGGATCAAGTCTTGGAATGGAATGTCCATTCTATTCCAAAGTTTGGATAAAATAATTTTTATTGGAATGGAATGCTTTTAGCTTGGCTGTCGGATTGGGAGTGATGTGCTTAGTCTGTCGAAGCTACTTTTTTGGTGTAACACAGTCGCCAAACTCGCTTGTTGGTTGTGGATACAGATAACATGCACGACTGGTGCACAGGGAAGACAACACTTGACGGCTCTGCTCCATGGAGTTTTGATCAGGCAAGTTGAGCTCAGTTTTGATCTGTCCATGGAGTTTTTAATTGAAAAACTAACCCTAATTATTGTTTCTCTCTCATTGTAGCAAAAAAGAGAGATTTTTTGTATGGATTTTCAATGGGGTTTTTTGATTGGAAAGCCTAATTTTTTATGCGGAGATAGTGATTGGGTGAACTGAGACGATGGAGCCAATTGAGGTTGATTTGAGTAAAGGCGGGTGTGTAGGCGGTTGTGGTGGTGGAGGTAAGAGTGGGGAAGGGTTTATTGATCGGAGTAAAGTGAGAATTCTTCTTTGCGACAATGACGCGAAGAGTCCGGAAAAGGTTCAAACGCTTTTGTGTAAATGCTCATGNTATGTAGGAATGAAATAGAATGGACATGGAAATAGAATGGAATGTGTATTATCATTCTAATGATTGATAATTAATTAGGATCAAGTCTTGGAATGGAATGTCCATTCTATTCNTGTTGTTGTCATCACAGCGTTGTGAATCCTCGTCTCCTGTTCTTCTCGAACAAAATGCAACTGCTGCGTACATTCCTTCAGAGCCCCATCCAAATGAAATATTCTTTCTTGGCCAGATACTATCTGCTGTAAAGCTTTTCCTTGTTCTTGCTTCAATGATATTGCTTCAGCTTCTGCGTTCCCCAGGCCTGAATGAACAATTGCCAGTTGACTTGGAACTCAAAACCATGTGAAAATGGTAAAGAGAAGCAGAAAGTACATATAAATTGTGTGATCAAAATAAATACTAACCTGAAAAGTCTTCTTGAGTGAGTTTTGCCTGTACCTTTGCGTATTCATCTTTAGTGTTACGCTCGGAGAGGGCCGAAGATACATCTCCTTCATTCCCTAACAGAGAAAGGTTCAATTTCTCAGCTGCAACCGTGGTTTTCTCAGTAAACCTTTTATTCCAGAGCCATGTCTTGTGATCCATCGTTTTCATGAAATATTCCAGACGAATATCACATAGGAGTCTAAATCAGCTACTACTGTTAATCAAATGCATTTCAAAAAGAGAACAATCAAGATTGAGGACCCTTGTACAACAACGTTTTAGAGTGCACAAAAATAACTGTGCAATACCATTAGTAATGTGGCAATGCCTCATCCTAGTTATTTAAGGTCAGCAATGCAATCTTTCCAATTATCTAATTCTATCAAGGACTGTTGTGGTAGAAGTAGAACGATGCACTTCAACATAGTTTTTGCCAGTCTTATAAGCATTAAGCATCTGCATTTAGGCTAATGGTACTACTAGTCAACTACACTCGCTTATTTATGCGCTGACTGAACTTGTTTAGTAGACAAGACCTGTTCTGTAGCATGCTTCGGGCAAAAGCTGGAGCCCGATTCCATTGATTCCAAAATTTAGTTTTGATTCAAATCTCTCCTCAACTGAGAACCCTACCTGCACCACAACCTATCATAATTCCTTACCAACCACCTCCCGTCTACAATCATAGATACATAGCATTGGGATATTTGGAGTTGGTTTAAAGGCGTGACCCATTTTCTTTTTCTCTTTTTTGATTTATTTAGTGGGGTTACCGCCATTCTTTCGACTTTTGTTTCAGTATTATCAAGATCCTTACTTACGCAAACTCAGATTAGTAGACAATCAAGAGTCATAACAACTAGCCTTTCATGTGCTTGTGAAAAACTCTGAATCAAAAGTTATCCATCACTTTACGTAATGCATCTAACCTACTTTAACGCTATGTTTGGTACTATGTAATGTATTTATGTAGGAATGAAATAGAATGGACATGGAAATAGAATGGAATGTGTATTATCATTCCAATGATTGATAATTAATTAGGATCAAGTCTTGGAATGGAATGTCCATTCTATTCCAAAGTTTGGATAAAATAATTTTTATTGGAATGGAATGCTTTTAGCTTGGCTGTCGGATTGGGAGTGATGTGCTTAGTCTGTCGAAGCTACTTTTTTGGTGTAACACAGTCGCCAAACTCGCTTGTTGGTTGTGGATACAGATAACATGCACGACTGGTGCACAGGGAAGACAACACTTGACGGCTCTGCTCCATGGAGTTTTGATCAGGCAAGTTGAGCTCAGTTTTGATCTGTCCATGGAGTTTTTAATTGAAAAACTAACCCTAATTATTGTTTCTCTCTCATTGTAGCAAAAAAGAGAGATTTTTTGTATGGATTTTCAATGGGGTTTTTTGATTGGAAAGCCTAATTTTTTATGCGGAGATAGTGATTGGGTGAACTGAGACGATGGAGCCAATTGAGGTTGATTTGAGTAAAGGCGGGTGTGTAGGCGGTTGTGGTGGTGGAGGTAAGAGTGGGGAAGGGTTTATTGATCGGAGTAAAGTGAGAATTCTTCTGTGCGACAATGAGGCGAAGAGTCCGGAAAAGGTTCAAACGCTTTTGTGTAAATGCTCATATCAAGGATTTGGTGTATACTGGGATGGGAATGGAATGTGAAATACCATGGTAAATTTAGGAATGATTAATCCCATTATTTGTAGGATTAACTATTCTTTAGGAATAGGAATGAATTTTCATTCGTGCCAACCAAATGTAGGAATAGACATTACTGCGGAATGCCTACTCCATTCCTAAGACTTAATCCCGCATACCAAACACACCGTAAGGGATGTCCACGCATGCCCATTGGCGATCTTATTGTTTACAAAACCAGGAACCATCTGAACCCTCACAAATCCATTTGTTTTGTTATAAATAAATGGTTTGGAAAATAGAAAATCCTTATCTCTAACATGGTTAACCAAGGAATGGTTATTCATGAAAATACAGGACCCTCTGGTTCGCCCATTCTTCATTAGTTTACTGTTTATTTTGGAATATAGTGTTTTGTCATTTGTAATCTACCTATACTGCCAACATTTGTGAACTCTCCTCTCAATAGATTTTTTTAATTAGTACATTAATTTAGGAACTTGAAGTAGTTGACAATTGATTTTCCCTTGATTTTAACTTTTTTTTAATCACGTGTGAATGAGCTTAGGTTATTGTAGACTATTTCGATTTACAATTACAATTAAGTTTTGCTTATTTTTGAGATAGGATTGTTGGTATGTCGTAAAAAAAAAATAAAAAAAAAAAAAAATATATATATATATATATATAATTGAGGAAATGTGATGTAGAACAGGTGGCAGCTAGAACAGGTGGCAGCTAATGAAATGTGTCAATTTAAGAAAAATTTCAGAAATTAATAACAAATCATCGAAAATTCTGAATTAGCGTCGTCAGTTCCATTAGACTCCAAATGACTTGTATTTTTATGTTAATTAGGAAAATTACATATTTTCATTTTTGATATTTTTAGAATTTTATGAATTTTGCTTTTGTTTTCGGAACGATTAAGGTTTTGGTCGTCCTTATTAATATTTGCTCATTTGTACTATGACTTGATCATTGAATAATATTATATTTCAGAGTTTCTCTTTGTGAATTTAGAGTGGTTTTTTTTGGTTCGACACACAACGAATCATAGTGTTCTTTTTATTCCTGATTCCACTACGTAAAAAATACAATTGAATTTCCTATAATAAAAAATAAAATTAAAAATTATGTGCATGTCATTTTTTCAAACACACTAATGTAACATTTTTATGCATGTCAGTGAAGAGCTTCTTCCGAAAATAATATGATTCCAATTAAACAATCTCACTAATATTTCTCCACAATGGTAGAAGTAAAACAAGTTAAAACTATAAAACAGAAAATAAAGAAGGTGAGAAACGGTCATGGAACTCCACATCAATTCCTAGAAGTAATACCAGAAACCAAGCAATTGCACAGTGAAATCAAACAACAGCTAGTCCCAAAAAAAACAAAAAACAAAAGACAAATTAGGTTAGTACATTATCATAGTTCTAACCTTTGATTGCTGAACACCGAATTCTCACTTTGCATTATTACAAATGTGCAAAATATGAAACGTTTCGATCCAGTGAAGAAGCATTCCGGAGCAATATTCATGGAAAAGATTTGGTAATGCCAACGGAATAAGAACCGACCGAGAGAGAGAGAGAGAGAGAGAGTTTGGTAACGCAGAGTGGGTTGGACGAGTCTTAAAAGTAGTTTTTCGCGGGATTGCTTTGATCGAACGAAGAGGAAGAAGGGGCGTCACTGTCAATTTAGTCATGATTCTTGAGTGAGTGCAGTAACACTGCGCTTTAATCATAGGACTTAACGTAACGTGGATTCATGTATTGGCTTCAAAAAAAAATTTTATTTATTTTTTTTGTCTTTTCCGTAATTTTGTATTTTCCGCTATTGAAAAATTACAAAAAATGTCTTGAAAGTGCAAAGAACTAATAAATCACGTGAAAATGATTAAGAGCACCCAGTCGGATTATATAAATAGAAATTATCTCAACTAATTATCAATTACTGTTGTTATTATTGTTGAGCCTATGTGATTAACTAACAAGGTCTTTTATCAATTTGAACTTTTTATACTTTTTTTTTATTTCGTTTGTAATTTATGGGTGAGCTTTAATTCTTTATGAGAAAGAGTAAGAAAAATGTTAAAAAGATAGTTCAAGTGGTAACATATGTGAGCTATAAACGCAGACGTCATGAGTTCGAATTTTCACATCCCTTGAAGGATCTGTTTTTGACCGAACTAGGGAGGTAATTAGTCGAGATGTGCGTAAACTAATACAGACACCCTTGACTATTGAACAAAAAAAAAGAGTAAGGAGAAAAGTTGTACATCACATTAAAAGATTTATCTATAATATAAAATAAAGTAGGTTTCAATAAATTCATTCGACGGTATCAAAATATAATCATTCAACGGTCATCACTGTGCCTTTATGCATAGATTACCTCTAGTTATTGTATAAGATTGGATTTTCTGAAGGAGGGATCTCTCCATTTTTGTTGCCTTATGCTTCAAAGATAAGAGAGATGAAACATATTGTTCAAAAACTTTTGGACTACTATTACTACTTGTTTTACTCTCTGATACCTTTCTAAACTTCATCTTAAGTAAAATAATGCTGGAAATAATCATATGATAAGCAAGCTTGAGATTTCTATATACATTATCAAAAATTACGATCTAATCAAACAAAATTATAATATAAACAGGTTATTCTAACCTTTAGTATCAATTTATGCCTGATACGAAAAAGATAGAGCTCGAATTTTTGAACTCTTGTTAGTTAGTAATTTTCACCTCGTTGAATTCTAACTCAATTTTATTAAGTTAAAATTTTTTTTAGGTGGTTGGGTGTCCATTCTTTCCCGATGAGCAAAAGTACCGACTCTGGGTTGGAACATTTTCGACTCTTCTTTTTTTCACTTGTATGGCATTGCTGTGTTGTTACTCATTTTTGCCAACAACTCATTCATTCACAGAAAGGGCTTCATAGTCTAAAAAAGTCCAAACAATTTCAGGTTACACATTGTCAAACAGGAGCCCTAAACAGACCGTATTAATTAATTGCTCATTCATATATGCTAATTTCTGATTTTACCCCCTCACCTACCTTTTTTTTTTAAGATTCTTCGTGATCTGACTTCAAAAGATTGTCAAGATTCAAATTTAAAATATTTAAATTTACAATTCGTCTTTATTATCACTTGAACTACTTGTTTACCTTGTTTTGAAGTTAAGGGTTACTCATCGGAGTTATTTTTCCGTTGAATTTTGGTAGCCCATGGGCCGAGTTAGAAGATGATGTGATGG